TGTACAGTCAGTGTGTTGGTTCCGCCTCCGCAAAGGCTCCCTCGCACTCTTCCTGGAAGGCCAGCCACTCAGCCCGCGCGAAAGCACATCTGGACTTGGTGCGTATCTTGTTGCTGGACGCGCCGCGAACTTCCAGCAGCATCGGTAGGTGGTCCGAACCCAGGTCCCCACCGAGTGACTAGCTCACCCGAGCCGCCAGGCAGACTTGTAAACGACTCTGAGTTGATTCGTGAATCGACTCAGAATCAAACCGTTTTTCGATGAGTCATGAGTTGATTCGAATCACTTCATCGAGGAACTTGATGAGTCATGAGTTGATTCGAATCAATTAAATTTAACATCATGAGTCATTTGATGAATCGATTCAAATTTTCAGACTCAAACAAAGAATCGACTAAAAAAAAAATTTGAGTCGTTTACAAGTCACCATCAACACCCTAAAAATCAATGCTAGATCACCCCCTCAGCTTTAGCCATCACTTAAAGGGACCCTCCCACCTTCAAAAAAGCTTATGAATTGGCATGAAAGTGATGTCGCTCGGTTCAGAAAGAGCGAAAACGAATATCTACCAAATTTCACCGAAAAATATTCACCGGTTTTCAAGATATTAGTCTTTTACTTTTGTTTACTTTTTTGGGATCTCCGCTGTTTCTAGCGACTTTATTTTAGAAGTGCGGCGTTTGCGGCAGATGCTGCGCGCAAATAGCATATACCACCACGTGCTACAAAACGTTTTAGTCAAACATTTAAAAATCGTTAGATATCTGCGCTGACGTCACACATTCAGAGGGGTATTCCTAAGCATTAGCCCCTCTGAATCAAAATGCTGCAATTTTGAAATTCAATATTTCTGATTTAAGGTATTTCTCGATGTTGTGAGTGCCGAAACCGGTAATTGTGAGCCAGGGACCCCATTTTGGCTATCTCAACTCAAATCTAATGTTAAGGTGGGAGGGTCCCTTTAACTCCATATTTCAGACTTACAAGAGCCTCAGAGGCTCAGGCACAGGTGCCTAATGAGCCAAAAGCATTTGGCAGTTGGTACCTAGGTACTAGAGGTGGCAAAACTGGAAAATTTTGGGACCCGGACCCGGACCCAGTCTGACTGGCACATTTCCAGAACCGGTCAGACCCGGTCTAGGTCAGCATTGGAACCAGATGGACCCGTTCCCGAAATTCATTTGGAAAATTGTGTACTGTGCAAGAAGAAAATATTTTCTTTCCAATTGAGCAACCTTGTGTTGCAAAGTAAAACACTCATGCCATGGTCATTTCACTTCGCTTCACAGTTTGTATTTTAGAACCAGATTCAGGTCATATTTAATAATATAAGGCGTAAGAAGAACAATGAATTTCATGCTCACCTAAGCCCCTTTTACTACAGCTGCTAAAAATGATGTGAACTGGGGATCCATGGAGCAGTGACTTCATCAGTCAGAACCTAACATCAAATATGGAACAAGATAAATATACTGATACCTTTGCTAATATTCTTGGTAAAAGATATTCGTTTTTAGAATGGAATACATAAGTCCTTCAAATATCAACTATATAACGTCCCAAACCAGAAAATCAAAATCAAAATAGAGAAACATAAAACTGTAAGGTCCGCCAGAAATGTCGACACCAATAGCAAGACAAAGCAGGCGTTAAAACACTGCAAAATTTTGTTGGCGTTAAAGTACTGCAAAATCGAAATGGCATTAAAGTACCGCAAGGTTGCGATCATGACTTAGTGCCAATTCATTAACGTAGAAAACAAACTACAATTTGTTGTTAGTACTTAGATATAAAATAAAAACCAAAGTTTCTGGGACTGACCTGATTTTGATCTTAGCGTCTTTGAGCTGGGATCCATGAGCAGAGTAATTGCGTATTACAAACATATCACTATGACGAACAAGTAGGAAAATCCGTTCCTGATGCACATTTACTCGTCAATGCATTCGGGGTCTTTGTATCAATGTCATTAGGCGTTTAGTATGTGCTAGAGTGGAGACTTTGTCCTCTTCCCGATCGTGTTCCAAAATTGTTACCTTTATGCAGTAGATTAGCGTGCGTAAGGCTTAGCATATATGACGCTCAAATGCGCCGTTTTCATATCAACACGGAATCATTGGCCTTGGAGAATGGCATTGGTATTGACTCAGTTATTTGCCAGCTGTTGCCGTATGATGGCGCTAGTAGAGCGCTAGTGTTATACGCTCTGCTAGCGCCACCATGCGGCGCCAGTTGGCTAAAAATCTGTTCAATTTCACGGCTTCTGGAGAATGCCTTAGATTCATTTCATACAGATAGAAATAATTTCAAAGCTGATTGAGTTATGAAATGCATTTAAATATCAAACCAAGGCCATGGGTATCAGACATGAACTGCGATTTCCGGTGGGCACAGTGACTTTGGTAATTGGTATGTCAATGTCTTTGAAAAGGCAGGTAAGATTTGCAACTGGTCAGCCTTGCTTCAATTGGATTTGTGTCCACTATAAATGGATTTCAGTCATACTTACCTCATATGTTATTGGTATTTGATTTCTACAGCCCAAAATATTGTTGGGTGTGTACAGCAAACTGAATGGAAGTGATGTGTACAAACATTTGAAGTATTTTCTGGACTGCTTGCAGTTAGAACTTGTTTGCTTTGTTGTAGGTGACAAGATAAGAAATTGAAGCAAGACTGACCAGTGACCAGTATGCTACAGAATAGGTAGCCCAATCTGCAGGAATATTAGAATTCAAAAGTGGAATTGGGACTTAGGAACTGGAAACTGCATCAACCATGTTTGCCAAAGTAGGTACCTATGTACCTAGTCCTACTAGGTAGCTGCTTGAATCTTTGGTCAAGGCTACTATGCTGCTTAATACAATTGTGGAATGCGGCATATTCATTTTATCATAGCTTTGAGTCAAATAATCAACAAACGCCTATAGTGAGTCATGGGTTGAATGAAATAAGTTCAATAAAAATGTCGTGTGAGTCATGAGTTGATTTGAATCGATTCATCAAAATGTGTGAGTCATGAGTTGATTCGAATCATTCCGTTGGCTAGTTGCTCGAGTCATGAGTTGATTCGAATCATTTTATCGAGGAACTTGATGAGTCATGAGTTGATTCGAATCAATTAAATTTAACATCATGAGTCGTTTGATGAATCGATTCAAATTTCCAGACTCAAACAAAGAATCGACTCAAAAAAATTTTGAGTCGTTTACAAGTCTGCCGCCAGGGCGAGGCTGCAAGCCGCCACGTCCGGGGCCGTCTATCCCCCTGAACGGTAGCTGGTATGCGTCGGGTCTCCGTTATTGAGCGGGGTCCAGCCAGCACGGTCCATCCAGGTCGCCAGACGCTCCCCGACCGCGTCCGCAGCATCACAGCCCGTGTCCCACAGCGGGTGGTGAGCGTTGAGGTCCCCGACTATGATGGTTTGGTCATCCCTCGGCAGGTGCTCCGGGTCGAAAAGGTCACGTCTTTCATCGACCTCACCAGTTCGTATGGGAGGTCGGTAGATGTTCAGAATGTCTAGTGGTTTTCCTCCGAGGATGCGCACTCCGCAGACTTCTGTTGAGTCGTCTGCTGGGGTTGTCCTGCGTTCAGTGATCGGGGTGAACTGTAGTCCCGCTCTCAGATACAGGGCGACGTCTCCACCTTTGACGCCGGTCGCAGTCATTCCTCTGGAGCTCCTGGTGATGATTGGGGGCTTGGACCCGTCGACCCTCGTCGGCGCCTTGCCGAACTGGCATTCTTGGATTGCCAGGACGTCCATCTTGTTCGTGTGGAGCCAGCTCTGGAGCTCCGCCAGCTTCGGCCTGAGCCCCTCAGCGCTCCAACACATGATGTGTAGGCGGCTGCGCGCATCACGATTGCGATGGTTTCGTCTGTTCTTCTGGCTCCGCCGAGTGGCGCGGGCGCCCGCTCCTCGGACTGCACCCCCTCCTCCGGCGCCAGGGAGGGGGGGGGGGGGCGCCGTGTTTGCGCTACTCATTTGGCGGGCCGGGGTGCGCAGCTGAGCGCAGCCCGGTCCGCTATGAGGATGTGCGTCTCCCCGGAACGATACATAGTTGAGTTGATAGTTGCGAGACGACGACGTGGGGGCGGCCGCTCCCAGGTGCCCTTCGGAGAGGGCACTGCTTGGAACCCGTTTGGTTCCGGATCCGCTTGTCCCACGGGTCAGGCAGGCCACCAGCTCCCCCCCCCCCCCCACCACCACCACTTCAAGGCGGGTTCCACCAGAGGGCATGTGCTCAGCTCGACGATACGGATCGACTGATATGCAACATGACCTTTTCCGGCTATGCCATGATCTTGACCTGAGGTCAAATTTGCAACATGACCTTTCAAGGCCAATGTATAGAACATTCGACGCGTCTTGACGAGAGGAACACGATGCTGGCAAAATGATATCGTGGCTCTCTTGAGTCAAAAGTTATCACCGATCAACATATTTCGTGAAAATTGCTACATGTGGGTTTTTGTCTGAGTAAAATGCTCTTACATGTCTGAGTAAAATGTTCTTACATGTCTGAGTAAAATGCTCTTACATGTCTGAGTAAAATGCTTAGAGTTTTTACCCTCTGGAGGCTAAACCGTTGACATGAGGTCAAATCTGAGAACAATACTCAGAGAGGTCTGTAAAAGGGCTATCGAATGCGCTTTTCCGCGGCGCTGTAGCTCTTATTGGTTTCCGAGTTAGCCGTTGGCAGTTTCCAAAATTATTGAAATGGACTAAATTTGATCTTTGATGACCTCTGGCGACCTGACCTTTGACCTGACCTAAAAATGACCGAAGTGTTTCCGTCATTATTTTTAACGCTCTTTCGATTGCCGCTTACCGCGTGTTGCTACTTGGCCCAGGAACCGAGTTAGAGACTCGGTTCGGTTAGAGACTCGGGGGGTGTTCAGACACCCCTTGGCCCGGCGGAGAAGTCCCGGAGCACTACTGGCCCAGCGCGGGTTAATAAATCATGCAATTGTACAATTAGTCTGTAAATGTGTTTCGCAGGTATTGGAGGTGCACTTCACTGTCCCCACTGCCACTTGAGATGTTTGGGACAACAACGTCTGGACAGACACGTGAAGAGATGTGTCGATCACGTCGGCAGGAACGACAGATTCAAGTGCGAGTGGTGTCAGTACTCGACCAACAAAGTCACCGATATGAAACGCCACCGTAGGACTCACACGGGAGAGCGGCCGTACTGCTGCTCCATCTGCCAGGCTCGGTTTGCTCAACGGTCAACCCTCACCACACACATGCGGACCCACACGGGGGAGCGGCCGTACGGCTGCTCACACTGCCAAGCCCGATTCGCTGTTCGGGCAAGCCTCACTAAACACATACGCAACCACACGGGGGAGCGGCCTTATGGCTGTTCCATCTGCATGGCACGGTTCGCTGAGCGGGGAAAACTCACCAGACACATGCGGACCCACACTGGGGAATGGCCTTATGGCTGCTCCATCTGCACGGCACGGTTCTCTCAACGGGCAAACCTCACCAGACACATGCGGACCCACACTGGGGAGCGGCCTTACGGCTGCTCCCTCTGCACGGCACGGTTTGCTGAACGGGCAAAACTCATCAGACACATGCGTACCCACACGGGGGAGCGGCCATACTGCTGCTCCATCTGCACGGCAAGTTTCGCTCAACATGGAAACCTCACTATGCACATGCGGACCCACACGGGGGAGCGGCCATACTGCTGCTCCATCTGCACGGCAAGTTTCGCTCAAGCTGTAAAGCTCACCAGACACATGCGGACCCACACGGGAGAGCGGCCGTATGGCTGTTCCATCTGCCAGGCACGGTTCACTCAACGTGCACACTTCATCACACACCTGCGTAGCCACACGGGGGAGCGGCCGTACGGCTGCTCACACTGCCAAGCCCGATTCGCTTTTCGGGCAAGCCTCACTATGCACCTACGCACCCACACTGGACAGCGGCCATACGGCTGTTCCATCTGCCAGGCACGGTTTACTGGACGAACAAATCTCACCAGACACATGCGGACCCACAGTTAGAGAGCGGCTGTATGGCTGTTCCATCTGCCAGGCACGGTTCACTCAACGTGCACACTTCACCAAACACCTGCGGAGCCATAAGGGGCAGCGGCGCAGCAATTCTCAATAACAGATCATCTTTAAAGGGATTATCAGGGTTTGAAAATTGAAAGGAATCGGAATGTATTGCATATCAGTTAAGTCTCCAGACTCTGCCGATTTCAACGATATGCATAAAATGCCTATTGATGCTATACTTTGCAAGTTATAGCCGTTTGAAAAACGACAAAAATGTACTTACTCCCGCAAAACAAGTACTTGAGCGGTCAGATTGGCCCATCACTATAATGTAAACAAAGAGCGGCCTTGCGAAATTTTGCGGGACTGAGGATTTCTACAAGATTTCGGTGATAGGCATTGGTTGTCGATATACGATGGATTTTTGGTGAAGAACTCGATTGAAATGGAAACAAATTGAAGATTTGCTTGTCTAATTGAAGATTTGATGTCTAAGGCAGCAAGATTTATAAACATCGCCAAATTTATCATGTGCAATTGGAGCTTGTTTCAGTTTTTTATAGCAGGGTCATGATACAATTTTCTTTCAATGGTAGATTCGTCATGGTACAGTACAATTTCAATGGTTATTTCGAGTAATTTATGTCATTGAATTGAAATTGCAAGTACTACCACAAAAGAGCTTATCCTCTTCAAGTTTCAGTCTTGATCCGACTGATTTGTCAAGAATGCGAAATGTGAGGCGACAAAAGAGAGCTACAGGTTTTTCAAGATTTAAGCGTTCTTGAATAGCAGGTTGTACAACATTGTGCTATGACATAACCACTGGGCCTTGTGCCTCCTGTGACAGAGCCCCTGCATCAGCTGGTCTGACACGGCTGGGCTCGCAAGTCGCAAAGAACGTCTTGGTGCTCTTAATTATGATTGATGATTGTGCTGTGAAAGGAGGGTACCTACATGGCAAAATACATTTGTATGTAGTTTCTTGCCACAACACCCACCTGCATGTACATTTTTGTTGTCTTTGTGTGAAAAATGAATATTTTAAGGAAAATTGAGGCATTTGTTTGAAGCATGCAGAAATTCATGTGTGATGCTGTCCCGGTAACTATGTGGAACAGAACAGACTGCAGAGTGCCAGGTCGTGCTTGAACAGAGAGAATCATCAGTTATCTACATATGCGAATGCTTCGTAAGTTCCCTGCCTTTTCCCAGATTCTACTTGCTATAGTTCGTTTTTTTTTTCAAAAGGACGCTGGCTCAAAGTTCAATATCGAAGCTCTCACGTGAGTTCGGGCAGCTTCAGTGTCTGGCCAAGAATTTCTTACCGAAAAAATAATCGATTTCAAATTGTGCACTGTAAGTAGTTGGAAATTGTTTCTTAACCCATTTATGCCCAGGAATATTGACCATCATGAAAATCGACGAAATCAAAATATGTTATGCTCCTACCAGGGCCTTGTATGGAATCGAAAATATTTTTTGCCTGCAGCAAAAGTTTCTCGAGAAAAACGTAAAAAACATGCGTTGCGAAATCGCAACGAAGGGCACACCGGGCGCCATCAGCGTTGCGAAAACGCAACGATGGGCACATCAGACGGACATAAAGTACACTGAACTGCCGTATATGCTAATATATTTTGACAAAACATCAATCAACTGTTGACAACTATTGCTTGAAAATGCGGAACCCACATCCGTCATGCTCTATAACCCGCCTAAGAGCCTCAGTGAGGAAGCATAACTTCATGATTCGCGAACGGGGAGATGGCAACACGGTCATTATCAACCATTTACGTTGTCCATTGCTGTTCATTTAACCCGCGCCCCGCTGGGGGGGGGGGGCAGAATCTGCCCCCCCCCTCCCGTTTTTCGCCAATAACTTCTAAACGCGTTACGCCAGCGACGTCAAACTTTCAGTACCTTATCATACATCAATTTGACACGTTCTCTGAAAATTTGAGCGAAATCCGTCGGAAAATTTTTGAGAAATTGACGTTTTAGTGACGTCATGTTCGCCATTTTCGCCTCAAAAACGGCAAAATTTCAAACGCCGCTAACATCTTCATTTTTAAAGGAATCAAGACGTAACAAAAAGGTTATACGTGATTTTACTTTGTCTATCAAATGGCTATCTCAGTTTTTTGAAAATTTTGGATTTTGGCCAAAATGTTTCCAAAAAACTGACTTTTTTGGGAAAATATTTATAAAATCCAAAATTTTGGGTTTCTCGAAAAAACCGGAATATATGTCAAAGAACTGGTCCATGTGCACCTACATACTAATTTTTAGAAGAATCAGTTCAAAAATGTGGGAGTTATTCAAAATTCTATGACGTCACGACACACAAAATTTTAAAAAATGATTTTTTTGGAAGTTTTAGACCTCGTACGGAAACAAAAATAGCACCATTCGATTCGCCGTGAAAAACTGCATCGGAAAGACACCTTTTTAGGCCTTAACAACCAACTTCAAAATTTGACCTCACTTGACCTGACCTTGACCTGATCTCGACCTGAAATTCATCCAGAGGTGCTCCATATCACTTATTGAGTGTGCCTATTGAATTCCATGAGTAAAATGACCCATAAAACATGTGTCGCACGTGCCCTTTTCTATATTTTGTTTTTGGTGACCTGACCTGACCTGACCTGACCTTGACCTTGACCTTTGATTGACATTGTGTGCAACGAATATTGTCTTGGTAGTCTAAGAACAAGTTTTGGGCAATCAGTCTCAGTCCATTCTTCGGCAACTACGGTGCAAGGCCGATGCTGTAGAAACTTGCATTTTGTACCCTTGACCTGACCTTGACCTGACCTCTGACCTACTTAAGCAAAAAAATTTGGGCTCTTAAGATCCGCCTTGTTGAGAGCTTTCGATTGCCGTTTTCCCCGTCTTTCTACGACCATCGGTTCGGAAGTTAGACAGGGGGGGCAGAATCTGCCCCCCCCCCCCCCCAGCAGGGCGCGTATGGCTGAATAGCCCAGCGGGGCGCGGGTTAAAGTTGTGGTCGACACGTATCCAGGGTGATGCTTTCTTTTTGGAAGCTAGACAGATCCATTACCTCCACCTATCAGACCCTGCACAGTGCACACTGAATACAATTAAACGGAGGATTGGGAGTAAACCAGTGCCTCTCTTATGCGCGTATATCCGCAATCATTTTTAACCACCCTCCTAGGAGTAAAGTTAAATTCCATTGCAGGTTAGTCGTACCCACTCTCAGCAAAAAGAAAAAAAGGACCGATGCGGCTCTAACAAATTACCTGCGTAAGGCGTAGCGCATCACAACAAATCGACACCCAGTTTATCATGTTTACACCTAATCCAAAATTTTCATGGCCCCACTCTCAGCGACCTTCACGTGTAACCTCTTTCTCGAGACAATGCCAGGACAGAATGGTGATTCGACGTCAATCCGTCCTTTCCATCTTCAGGATAGTTGAATCCTCCTCCACGCCTCATCCCCCTGTTCCGGGCTGGACCGGCAACGTATATATCGCAATCGGGCAGCTCACATAGGAGCGCGCCTGTAGCCGGGTGCAGTGAGTGCTTGGGAGGGGGGGAAGGGGGTGGGTCATGGGTGGCGGCTGCCCACTGGCTGGGCTCAGTCTCCAGTCTACGATTGACCGTGTCCGGCCAGACAAATGTCTCCCCTAATTCCAATAATCCTGCTAGCTCTAAAAATGGTCTGATTAGATAAAAAGCCTATCAAAGTAAGAAAACAGGCGTATACTCCACATCAAGCAGCTTATGAATCTATGCGAGTTATGAATCCTAAAAATTATTATTTTCCCATGGGTCCGCCCACCCCTGCCGAAGGGTTCAGCTACCCTCAGAGGGGGCCTATCCCACTATTTGCCGACCCTCAGTTATCTTTTCTAACGTAAATGCTGGTAGTCAGCAGATTCTATCCAGAGAATGGCGATGCCTATCTGTCGCCTGATACCAGAATACATCCCCGTTATTCATTATGTATGCACAATGTACATAGTAGATCCAATTTCCAAAGGACCTAATTATCTCTCAGCTCCGTTAGCATCGCCGACCGTTTGATGCATGGGTCCTTTTCCTACCATGCGATTTTCAGATGCATGGGAACACATTGCTTAGTGAACGAACAGCCCGAGGCCGAAAATCTGCGAGAGAAAAAGAAAGGAGTGTTTGTGGCTGTTTGAGCCAGCAAATATGAAATGTGTCGCAACATTTTACGTGCGAACGCACCTTGCACTAAACATCCTATATACGTCCCTCATAGCATAGGCGGCGGAGCGGGGGGAGGGGGCACCGGGGCACCATGCCCCCTTGATTTTGCCATTTTAACATTATCCCGATAGGCGTTGCATGGAAATGGAAATGGAAAGAATGAGACCAAAAGTCAGCAGTGCTCCTCCCCCCCCCCCCCTTAATTGAAGATGTTCCGCCGCTACAGCCTCATGGCTACAAAATGAGAGAGAGAGAGAGAGAGAGGGGGGAGAGAGTTGGGGAACGAGGAGGAGAGGGAGGAAGATGGGGGAGAGAAAGAGAGAACCCACAGCGTATTACGAGTGAAGTCTACTGTTGATATTCATACTTCCGCTACCCTGCCAATGTGCCCATCGTTTTCGCAACACCGCTGTCTTTCCGATGTGCCCTTCGTTGCGTTCCCGCAACGCGACCGTAGTCATATTTGAAAATAGTCACAAACCCTTTTTGTAGCATTATTTCTTAACAAAATGCATATCTACGCTATTGTAGGGACTCTGCAGAATATGTTTACACAATTTTCATTACGATATTATTAAGCACTTAGCCTACTTATCTTGGTTTTCGTGACGTCATCACTCACAAAACCTTCGACTTCCCTCTGGGAGCTCTAGGCAGTAACTTACCGGCCGCACAGACTTGTAACTGCGTAGTATCATGCGCACAACCATGCTACACATGCTGAAACTTGTCTCATCGGTTAGTCTCTTTTACACACTTCTCAAGCTTCGATCACGTCGACGCTTGCTTGCGTTGCGAAAACGCAACGAAGGGCGTAAATGGGTTAAGAATGAACATACTATGATGACGTCAATGGTGGCAGCAGGCACCCAAATGTCCGTGCAATGGGACAAGTGTCAACGAATTTGGGTGAAACTTAGTTTTTCACTGTTGCCGAGCTTATAATCGAGTAAGCGGCTCCGTCCATGATAGTTATAAGTTACATTGCAATACATGTTCGACAGCAAGACGTCACCACTGTTCCCATATCTGGTTCCAAAACGCATATATGGAAATTATCGGGAAGAAATCACATGTTAATATTAGTCGACGTTCGATTTTCTCAGGTTCAGTTTTTGCTCGTTTTGCTCGCTAAAACACGTGCTTGTTCGAAAAACATACTTGGAGCCAGCGTCCTTTTGAAAAAAAAAACGAACTATAGTTGGGGCATTCCACGATAGATCGTACCTCTTTTTTCCAATTTGACACCCTCATCTCTCGGATTTTAACAATAATTGGT